ACAGACGACGGCCCGACAACTGAAGACGACCCGCCAAGAGGAAGAAAACTAGCTCGAAAAAAGAACCCAAAAACTCCGACGATCGGCTAGCTGGACCCTCTGCCGAACCAGATACCTTACCCGACCGGGCCGCCGCCAGAACAGAAACCGGAGCACCGCCCCCAACCCCCGCTGACCTAAAGCACCGCTCTCGGCCAAACACCAAACCAAGCTGCCTCTCCAACCCAAGACCCACCAATATTCAGCACAGGGCAGCAGAAGCAAACGGGAGGAAGAGGGCTCACCCTACCCCGGACAACTCACCGGAGAAGGCCGAAGTCAGCTGATCTCCCCCGTCTTGGAAGCCGTCGAGACCATAACCTTCGAGTAGACAACCGGAGAGCGCGGCGAGAACCTACCATGGAGAGGGGTCACCAGCACCAGACGAGGAGATCTGCTCGGTCCGGTCGGCGCCGAAGCGCCGCTGCAAGCGCGACTGGAGGAGGCGATTTAGGGCCGATTAGATTTGGGGTTTTTTGGGGAGGGTTTTTTTCGCACAGTAGAGAGAGAGAGTATTCCATAATGTACCAATCTAATGGCTAAGAATGAATCTCACATTCACTTTTATGTGGACTCATTAGATCCAATCCCTATATATATATATATATTCCAATGTTTTAAAGAATGATTCAAAATAAAGGGTTTACCAGAAATAAATTCTATAGAGAAATAACAACTAAATTGTACAATTAAAGGTAAAGTGCAATGTCATGCATAAAATTCAACCAAATAGTACAGCAAATAAGTGAAACGTAAACTAAATTATATCATTATGCAAAAATAGGAAAAAAAAATCCAGCTTTATAGGATGGATTTCCACTCTATCAAAATTCGAGTATTCGACTAAATCACTTGGGAACTCATTAATAAGCTTTGTGTTTACCTCATCAACAAGACTGTTTTTCATTGTCAAAATGGCTCTATTTATTGGCACTTTAAGCTTGCTAAATTTGGATATATACTCTTAATCGTGTGAGGGCAGGGTTCAGGCTCCCTCGGGATCAGGAGATTATCAGGTACGTGAAGGGCAAGTTAGCACCCCCTTTTTACTTCATTTTTCTCATATTGTTTTTTCCATTATTGACCTTAGCATTTTGCCAACATTATTATAGCAATTGTTTTAAAAATCGGCCTAGGCGTCTCCGATTTGCACAAATCAGCGAGGCGGCTAGGCGGGCCTACGCGGCTCTAAGCGCTCTTAGACGGACTTGGCAAGCTCAGCGGCCAGGCAGTTAGGCGGCGCCTAGGCGGGCATTAGTGGACTTAGGTCTTCTAGGCGGGCTTGGCAGCAATTTTTCAAATATATATATATTTTTTTTGTAATTTTTTTAAATACTAATTATATTATTTTGTTCTCATGTTTTCCTTAAGATATATTAGTATTATTACTTGAATTTAGATGTGTGAATTTTTTATAAGTTGAGATAGTTTATTTAATATGTAGTTAAAATAAATACAAAATTAAGGTACTTAATATTGATTTCTAAACCCCACCTAGGCGCTCTAGGCCCTGGTGGAGCGCCTAGCAACTTTTAGAATACTGATTATAGCTTATGTTCATGTTGATGTACTTTATGTGCAGTTTAATACGAACAAAAACAAGTGTTGCGTGAATGTTTTGTTTACTGTGTGTGTGAGTGAGAGAGTTTGTGTTTGCAGTGTTTTTGCAAAAGATTGAAGGCAGGCAAAAGCATCCATGTGTGTGCCCCCTGCTGTATGACTACGAAAATATATGTGTGTGTGTTGTTGAGTGCAGGCAAAAGCAGCTACTGGAGATTCTTGTTCGATGGGGTTGCTGTTATCAATCCTCTGATTGTAATCATGATCATAGTTACTATCATTCCTACCAAACGTTGGATTGATCAAGTACGTGGAGCAAAATTAGTGTTCCTCGAAAATCCTCCATAGCCACGGCATGTCTTGAGCCTCTTGTTACGAGGATTCTCTTTCTTGGCCAGGTCAGATAGGCAGCCAGCGCTTGATAAACTTGTGAATGATCGTGACTTGCCATCGTAATACTGAGACAGCCCTCTCCTGTGTACATATTAAATAAGACACGGTGGCTAGAGGAAAACATACAAACTGTACTTACTATTTTCTCTACTTTCAATTAGACTGATTTTATTATATCTCTGTCCAAAACATGACCCAAACAAATCCACCATTACTGATTCCCATCCTATTCGGAAGTCAAAATCGGACTCATTATCCACCATATTTCTCGTATTCAATCATTCCCGAAACTTGAACAGAAAAATGGGAGCAAAGGTTTTATTATAGGAAGTGGAGCTAATAACGGTCCATTATATCCAAACTCGAGTTTCCAAACATTTGCTGCTCCACAATGAATCCACTTCATATACCTGAGCATAGTAGTGAATATGGTGTTTGTTTTCATTTCTTTATTGAACTGCAAATTGACAGTTAGAATTTGTAAACCATGTCTTCTGTGTATCCAAGTTCTTTGAGTAATCCAGCAAGCTGCCAATGGGAGGGAACCCGCCATTAATTTAATAAAAAACTAAGAAAACAACTAAAAAGTTACAAACACCAAATATTAGGATTATTGGAATTTAAGCATGTGATATACCTCTCCTTGCGATCGATCCTTAGCCTTATCACCAGATATATGAGTCATCATTCCAGGCGGCCCACAAACCTAGAAGCAGCAGAAGATTGTGGTGAGAAATTCAGTAAGCACGGTTTAGCATACTATGAACGCGCACAAGGGGGAGTAACAATTATGGCCCCAAAGACAAATCAAACTGATCGAGGAAAGAGAAAAGGAAAACACGCTAAGAGATGGATTTTAGAGAAACTATCAAGTCCAAAAATATAGACACAAATCAGACTGCAGATTGTCTAAGTTATGTCTGCATTAGTGAAAAATTATCAGCCTCAGATGACTTGACAGATCAAAGATTTCCCTTTTCTGTCCCGTATGATTAATTTAAGGTTGGGATGAGATGCGAGTGGAATGACAGTAAGATAGCATTAAATTCCAATCTCTGCATCTTGCTATGTAATATCCCCATGTTCCTTTCGTCTGATACAACACATGGGAGACAAAAATGAAAAATATTAGTGAGTCTATGAGCCCGTGCCAAATATTTATGTCAACAATCTCAAACATGCACTGGCATCTTCGTCATTGGCGTTATCGGTGATACTTCAATTCTATCACTGTCTACTGTGTGTTAGAACAGTGATGTTCATCTTATCAACATATTCATTTTGAGGCCAAACTCCTGATAATTTAAGCTAAAAGTATGAGAAAAGTGATCAGTTTCCACGGTAAAGAAAACTTACAAGAATAAGTGTATCGTTACTGGGGCTAAAAGTATGAGAAAAGTAATCAGTTTCCACGGTAAAGAGAACTTACAAGAATAAGTGTATCGTCACTGGGGCTGGGCAAGCCTTTGAGTACCATGTCCTTCGATATGTAACCCTTACCTCCCAGCCAATCTTTTGTTGGGTTATCAACAGTGTAAAATATCTACAAATTCAAAAAAGACAACAAATTTCACTTAAAATTGTACTCAATAAAAAAGAAGAAATTTAGCCTTACGGGTAACCAGTGTGCTTTTTATAGTACGACCTTCAAGTTTGGGTTGCTGGCGGATAGAACATCGAGTTTCTTTTTAAGAAGAATGTCATCAGGCGATACATTAGCATAGAGCAGGGATACCTAAAAGAGCACATGTTAACAATCATTCAAGTTCATGGGATATTATTTAACGCTTTCTAATAGTGTGGTTAATTTAAATACAAAAACAGAGACACTAGCGGGAGTACCTGTGTATGATCATCGGGGTTCTTAAGGATGGCATCTATTATCTGAAGCATTGGCGTAATTCCAGTCCCCCCTGCAATCTGAATGCAGATATTCCAACAAGTTAACTAAACAGCATAATTTCTAGAAAATCCATTGATATATGATCACAAATTCCAGTAAAAACAAATAGAATATCTAATATGCAACATTTTTTAACACTTCTCAAGAGTCAGAAGACTTGAGAAAGACTAGCCGTATGAATTTGCTTCATCACAGGGTGCATGAAATTATATTTAACCGACATGAAGAAAAAAGTTTTCGTGGAGACTAAGATTTAAATTTTGATTTAGCCTAGTCAGATCCAAACCCTCCAGTCATCATACTACATTGATACCCAACATTAAGCAACTATCATGCACCTGCTTCTTGAGAAATCAGGCTCCATCATGCACGAATTAGCAGAAACTACTAGTCACTACAGAAATCGACAATGTACATGGAGCTTAGTTCGCTGATTTTCACTACATCAGAAGAAAAAGAGTTCTAATTCTAAAAGTTATCCAGACTCGCCTATTTCTTTTAACTGTTCAACAAGAATCATGATGTTTTGGCAGAATAAAACCCAAAAAGAACAGAGAATGGAAGTCATGCACGAATACGATATGAGAAACTATTTTTTATTAACTTCATGTTAGATTTATCTTTCATAAGACAGTAACCTGCAGTTTAAAATGATGGAAAGAACTTTAAGTTTTCTGCCCATTTCTTTTTGGTTCTTCCACCACTCCTCCATATGGATTGTAAATGAAAAGGAAAAGTGTTCTAGAAGTCTGAATTTATCGTGATGGGGCGTGTAGTGATGATTAATAGACCAAGCAGTTCCAAACTACAAAATCCTTATAAAAAATAATCCAACAATTGCATCCTCAGTCTTCACTATGCATTATCTGAATATCACTAGCATAACTTTTGTTTTGAACCTCGGTCCCTGGATCTACATTTTACTAGTACCAAGATCAAACTATAATTATTGTTTCATGGTCTTACCATGCCAATATGTTTCTTCATGTTTGGGCTGTATCTGAGTTTTTCGATGGGCCTGTATAAGACAGCATAATAAGGCAAATAGCCTACATAAATCATAGCTTAAAGTTAATTCTGTATTACTTACCCTTTCACTTCAACAACATCTCCTGGTTTTAAGCTAGCAAAATGCTGACTCATTTTGCCTTCTGGGTATACCTGTAAAATGTTAAGGAAGAGGAAGAGCTAAGATTAGAGCTCCTAAAGTCTGATGATGTATAAGAAAATAAAGAAATATAATTCGAGTGAGTACCTTGATTAGCAAATCAAAATATCCCTTGGCATCTGGATCTGATATAGGTGTATAACTGCAGAAGCATGAGCTTCAGAAGAATTTCCAGAACTACAGGTTGATCTCAGAGTTTCTACTTACTAGAAGTTCATGATGCATCTAATGACAAGCTGATATATTACAAATTTGAAGTCACTATTCAGCAGGACAAGATTTATCTTCACGTGTTAGAAATGTAATTTAATTTTATTTTCCGTAGCATCATGTTTAGAAAAAGCATACCTGCTTTTTCATATTCATTATAAAAACAAAACATATGAAAACTCTTCTTATTTGCTAACAGTACCACAACACTCAGAGACAATAAAACAAAAGATGCATAATAAAGTAAAAGTCTCGGAGACATGTTTTGAGATTTTTTAAACAGGCTAAAGTGTAAATATATTGATATTTGATAATCTTAGGCGTATACACGAGATAACTTTCAATTACAAGTACTTACGGGCGAATTACATATTTGGTTTTCCCCTCAGCATTTTGCCCATTTGGAGCCCTACAGGAAATCAATGTTAGGAAGCCAATTATGTCCTCCGGTAAGGGGTCAATAAACAAACATGCACAATTATTTATATGAAAAACCCAACAAACAGAAGATACTAAGTTTCATAGAAAGTACCTTGTAATTATGCAGGATGCAACATCAAGACCTAACTTCTTGTCGGGATCAAACGAAAACCTACCATGACCCAATAGGAAAATGGGTCAACTTCTCCAACAATTTCAAGTAGGAAATAGCAATATAATATGCATTTCTGATAATAGAGCAGTTCAATAGATGTCTTATGACAGGTGAAGTTAAAAAAACAAGCAAATACATAACTTGAAAAGACAAAAGATAATAAGCTAACCTGAATAATTGAGAATTGCGACTGGCCTGCACCTTGTCTTGGAGTTTGAATTCAATCCATTTATCAGGATTTAGGGCTGAAATTTAAAGAGAGAGAGGGAGAGAGAGAGAGAGAGAGAGAGAGAGATCACTAAAGTTAAAAGCAAATTAAAGATCCAGCAAACGATTACAAAAGATTCAATTAAATTATTTTCACTGTGAAAATAAGACTTAAATAGGATATAAGCTAAAAAGAATTTTCAGACAATGTAAATGGATGATGTGCAAAAAAAAAAAAAAAGGAAAAAACAAAAGAAAGAAAAACTGCCGAACCTGAACGGTTACTAAGAGAATGAAGATCACATCAGTTACTAATTACACAAGGGAAGAAAATATACATACCAACTTTTGGTGTAGAATCTTCACTCAGTTGATCCAAATAAACCTGAGTTGAAATTATAGGCCATATATTAGTGTGTGACCAACAATCAAATATTTACATAAACTTCATTAAGAACAAAAAGGCTTAATGGCAACACAATGAATCCAAGACGTAAATAAGACGAATTGTATAGACTTGCAATCAAATGAAGGCATTATGCATACAATTGATAAATGTCCTTTGGCAAGGTGTTCGTGCTAAATGCCCCAATAAAATAAAATAAAATGTTAAATGAAAAGATATTAATAATAATTAGAACACTGGCCACCACAAGGCCAAATAATTCCTAGAAGCTACACTAGTCATGAAACAAGATCTGTCATGGTCTACAACAAGTCTGGTATCCTACATTGTCCGCATGTATTCATTTTTCCTAATTGGGAACTGAAGAGAGATTACCCATTACATTCATTCATGACCGATAAGCATCTAAGAGGGCAGCTATGCTTGGGGACGAGACGACTGATTAAACACAATATTCGACATTTTTACTTTCCTCTTCAACCTGCACTAATTCGATTTATATTAAAGATATGCAATTACTAGTTCCAAGTATTCTACGTTCCAAACACATAGAAGAAAAATCTAACTCCACACTCCACAGCATGATTCTACATTATATGTGAACTGACTATTTTCTTCTACAGGACTTATCCAGTTCACATTACCACATGACTGAATGCCAAAGAACGCATACATAACCAAATCAAGAATAGGAAAAAGCTATTATGCATTTCTGATCTATGATCTGAGTACTTTGATGTTTTCCTTCCGAGCACGAAACTATTGCCAAAGATAATATGAATTTCCCTAACACTTCATAAAATCGGAGTAACAAAATTACCAAATTTGGGGAGGAAAAGAAGTAATACGAAGAGATTGCACCGGAAACGGCAGCAAGGGCCCCGAAACGGAGACGTGAGCCGGAATTTGTCTGGACGCCGGTAGATATCGACGCGGCGTTCGCCAGTCGCCTGAGAAAGACGGCCATCGGCTCAAGTTGAAATTCCCCCGCACGATAAATATGAGAGTTGGAATATTTTCAGTGGCTACTGGACTGTGAATTACTGAATTTTGTGCAGAGGGTTTATAGCATTTGAGTGGTTTACCAAAAATAGCCCTTAACGTTGGTTAACAGTCTGAGATAGACGTGTTCGTCGGGCTTCAAAATCTGGAGCCACAACCGGCTCAACCCGACTGTTCATTGAACAACCAGTTTTTTTAGGGTTTATTGCAAAAAAAAAATTTAATCTTTTGTTTAATTGCAAATAAAATTCAATTTTTTCAATTTTGACGAAAAAATATCAAACTTTTATTAAGTGTTGCAATTTTATCTCACTCGCCGGACTTCCGCCAACCGCCACCTGCCGCTGGCCAATTTCGCCGGATATGGAAAATTTTTACATAATCTTATAGCTCTCCTCCGTGCCGACAACATATCCAAGTTTCACGAAAAAAATCCAACGATAAGTCTTCCAATTTTTCGGTCAAAGGTCGTAGAAAATAAGGAGAGTTACAAGATCATGTAAAAATTTTCAATATCCGGCGAAGATGGCCGGCGGCGGGTGGCGGTTGGCAGATGTCCGACGGGTGAGACAAAATTGCAAACTTAATAAAAGTTTGATATTTTTTTGCCAAATTGAAAAAGTTAATTTTCATTTACAATTAAACAATAGGTTGAGATTTTTTATGCAATTAATTATTTTTTAATAAAAATAAAATAAAAAGTAGATGGGACCCATTTTGCGACCCAAAATCGGCTCAAAACCAGCAGGTCAAAAAAAGAAAAAAAGTAAGACCTAGAACCGGCCCAATTTTATCACAAGTCTAGTTTCAAGACTGAATGATCCGGGCCGGTTCGACGGGCCAAGTCCACCCTTGCCACGGTAGGGATGGCAGCGGTTCGGTTTCGGTTCGGATATCCGCGGTTTTTGGTTCTGCGGTTTTCGGTTTTGGTTCTCAAATTTCACCCACGGTTTTGCGGTTTCGGGTACCCGAAAGTCTTCGGTTTTGGTGCGGATCCTATATTTCGCCCGTGGTGCTCCGTTGGGTGCCCAAAATAGACGGCCCATCAAAAAGCTCACCAAAAACCCTAGCTATATAAGTGGAAATTTCTTCTCCCTCTTATCCTCTCCCCGTCTCTCGTGATGGCTTGGCTTAGCTATGTACTCTACTACCTTTATGGCTTGTACTGTACGTTGGTACTTGCTAATTTGTGACTGGTTGTCTGGTACTCTCTAAGTTATCATGTTTTATGTTGTTGTCTTTGGTGTTTTATTATAATATTTTTGGTTTTTTGGGTATCCGTTTGGTTTTTGGGTATCCGCGTGTTTTGGTTTTGGTGAAGGATTTTCACCCGAAACAGTTTTGGTTTTGGTTTTGGTTTTTTAAGTTTGGGTTTTGGTTTTGGGTGCCCTGAGGTTCCATCCGATCCGAACTCGAACCGCTGCCATCCTTATTGCCACCTCTATTTAGAGAAACATACGTACGCTTTTTTGTCCGTTTGGATTTGATCCCAATATGTTGATTGTAGGTAAATTTCATCCTACTTATTTTGTCACGTTATTAAATCGAGGTCTGAGTCATTGAATGACTATATACATTCATGTAAATGTGTGTGTATGTACTATGTAAATTTTGAAAATTTAACATTATGTGTGTATGTAATCATTTCTTCAACTTAATTTATCTTTTAAACTTCTTTTTCTTGTAGGATAAATTTGAAAATTTTAATATAGTTTGCCAAAAATTCTATGGAGCCATCGAATTGTTTTCTTATGGAGCTATCCATCGCTTAATACAGTGACACCTGTCTAAATTGTATTTATTGTAGGACACGTGTCAATGTACTATTGGTGATTAAGTATGAATTACTCCATAAGCCGAGCCATCCGATGACTCCATAGCAAAACTGTATAATTTGTTTATATTCACAAGTTTTTGGTTCTTGATTTTGATAATATAATAATTTGAAAAAAAAATAATGAATATTTGATATGTGTATTTTTCGAAAAGCCAGCGTAAATATTTGAGAAAATTGCATACCTTACAATATAAATCAATTTTAATTACATAAATGAAACTCCATTAAAAATATTAGCAAATATACAAGATTTCACCTTTATTATTGTAAAATTACTAGATAATTAAGTCAATGTAATTAAAGGTGACTTATCACCTTCCAAACTTAATGGGATTAATTTTATCTTTCACGCAATATCTCTCCTTCTCTCTCTCTCTCTCTCTCTCTCTCTCTCTCTCTCTCTCTCTCTCTCTTCTTCTTCTTCTTCTTCTTCTTTCGACCAATTCACCCTCTCGATGGCTCTGTTTTTTCTTCTCACTCACATACACACACACACATATATATATAAAAATATATATGTATAAAGGTCGAATCTTTAATTTAATTTCGATCGATAGAAAGCAAAAAATCACGAAAGAGAAAAAAAGCCTTTTTCGTTTTTGTTCATCTTCTGCGAAAAAATAAATCGTGAAAAGCAGTTTGGGACTTGAAACGGAGCTGAGGCTGGGGCTTCCCGAAGGCGGCCGCAGCGACGACAAGATGGAGAGGAACAAGATGAAGAAAGTGTTTTTTAATATCTCTAGCATCGGTGGCAGCGGCGGGGAGGAGGGAAAGGTAGAGGTTGTGGGAAGTAAGAATCAAGTGGTGGGGTGGCCGCCGGTGGCGGCTTGTCGGAGGAAAAATAACTTCGGTCGGGCTAAGATGTACATGAAGGTTGGCCTTGAACAGCGCAGAAAATCACATGTTCGTTATATATATATATATGTTATGTATATGTTGGGTATATGTTCGGTCTACATATATAAACTCAGAAAGTTGGAGTTATTTTTCAGTATATGTTTGGTATATGATCGATATACATATATAAACCCAAAAAATAGTATATGTTCGGGATACATATGTTCTGGTGTTATTTTTTAATATATGTTTTATATACGTTCGGTATATGTTCGGTATACATATATAAAACCAAAAATATATATGTATATATAAACATCAAATAGGAAAGAACAAAAAAAATACTACATATATACATAATCAGTTTCAAAAAGAAAAATGATACCTGATTTTTTCGGATATATTACGGGATATAATCAGCAAAATCAATTTATTAGGATATATAAACTTACCATTTAAATATACAATTTTTTGTGCAAAAATAACGACCGACTAACAATTGCGATATTTAAGGATAATGATATCTCATTAATTTCCATTTGATATTAATACATTCCTAATTAGTAGGATATTTAACAATTGCGTAACTGATATTGTTTCTTCTTCCAAATAAATGCAATATAGATGGCACACGTGCAAATAAAATGAACATGTTCGTAATAATGCAATAACTTTAAAATCGTGTGGTAATCATATAAAATGGCCTAAATATTTTGACAAATGTTGCATCACTCTGATTTAAAACACAATGAATTGCATTTTATAACAAGAAATTAACAAAAAATTTCAAGACCAATCAAGCGGCTTATAACAAAAATTTATATATCTAACAAAAAATGCCTCGCTTTTTTCTTCCCACAAAATTGTACAACAAATTATGCCTTCAAGAAAAAATTAAAAAAAAAAAAAAAATCCTTTAAGGGTGTGTGCTACATTGAACCTGTGTGAGCTTTTGAGAAATACACCTGTGCCATCGAAAAGCACTTGTCCTTCTGCCTTTTGTATTCGTTGTACCGCAGAAAGAAGTAACCTAGATAGTCGAAATCGATCGGGGACATTTTTTCCTGAATTAAACAAAGCCAAAAGAAAAACGGTCTAAACGCTTTCTCATTTCACCAGCCAAACAACTACATTCCGAAAGAAACAAAACCGAGTACCTGGATTAATGCCCATAGTGCCCAGTACAGGTGTGAAGCTAGCATATAAGCATTTGTCTCTACATAGATAGCTTCAAGGTCTTCATCACAAACCTGTCATTTTTTTTTTTGCCAATAGTCATAGACGAGGAAAAAAATGGATGAGTATGATATGATCAATTAGCGATATATATATGGCACATATTCTCATTCTTGATATTTATGTTTATCTACCCTTTCTGTTATATATGTAAATATATCTAATTTATTATAATTCTATGACCAATGTACGAAAAATTTCCAATTGAAATTACTGGAGTTCACGTGAAACGGTGAAAGTTCTATGTTATTGCAATAATATTGCAGGTAACCTTTATTGAGTATGTGAATTTACAGTGATCATACATACTGAAACAAATTGAGCAGAACATGGAATAAAAGCAAACAAACATAATTATCATTAATTACACATATGGAACACACTCACACACCTCGTCTGGTTTTTCTGGTCTTAAATAGTGCCTGAAGAAGTAATATTGTTCATCTTTGCTTGGGTACCTGCAGCAGGCAGCAGCACCAGGTTCAAGAAAAAATACAAATCTTATTATCAGTCGATAAAGACGAAGCACTTTGTGAAAAAAATTATATGAAGAAGAAGACATACATGCTGTAATCACATTCATAACCAGCATATTCATTGAAGTGATTTCCAATGTCGAAACCCCGGTAATTGTAGGATCCATACTCAAAGTCAATGAAGTAAAGCTTATCTGAAAATATTCCAGTGAATATCAACTGAATAGATAAAAGTGGCTTCGGATTTTTCATAACTAGCTTAAACATATATGACATGAAGTAACCCAGTTGGAATGAAACTCAGCGAACTTTGAGAAAGTGCAGTTAGGATTCGGCAGCCATATAAGCAACCTGTTCTTTATACTTTTCACAATAAGATATAAATTCCCAATGGATAATAAGGTAGAGATAGTGCTGAAATATTTTAGATTCTAATTACTGCAGTCATTTTTAGTAGATAAGGAAGACAAATGGTTGCTTCTGAAAGACTTGGAGTCACCTAGATGATCTGATGAATTTTCTGATGTTGGGAATCAAAGCTAGTACTCATGTTCGTTTGGAAAAGGGGACTTGTACTACCATAAATTGAGTAGAAGCATCAATTCTGAAACTCGGTCTATCATGTAAATTTCCGGATTTCAGTCTGTGAGAGAGAGAGAGAGAGAGAGAGAGAGAGAGCATGGAATGGTAATTACCTTCTGCATCATCAATCATCAAGTTCCCGGAAAGCAAATCATTGTGAGAATACACAATAGGAGCATTAAAACGATCTGTCAGTACCTGTGTTTCATAACAAGATAATTTTTACAAATAAAATAGTGTTTTCCCAACCAAATGAAAGCCAAAGTAACCGGTATAAAAATGTCTATTTTGACCAACACAACACGGCTTCCCACACTTCTATAATGTGTGCCAAGTTAACAATTCATTTCATTTGATGATTAATCGATATTGGCTAAAACTGAAGCAATAAAACTTAATCATAAAGCAATAAATGTAAATAATCTTCTCATCCCAAAGCAGGCAACATGATAATGGGAAGAGAAAGCAGTATATTGAGATAAGCAAATAGCAGAATATATTATCTTCCACAATAGTGACGCTATCGTGGATGAATGGAGAAAGCAAACAAACGGGAAAGTTGAGACAACGAAGCTTATCTCCAATAGTACAAACAGAACAACATGGCAAAATTTTAGATCAAGATAACTACCAACATTCTCTTCTTCAGAAAAGAATATAAATATACCATGCAAATCATAAGAAAAGCATGAAGTAGATGATAACCTTGAGTTCAGAAAGTTCTTTCTTTATTTCTTCAAATGAAACCTCATCATACTTCTTTTGCTTCTCAATATCATCAAATTTGAGGCTTGATGCTACATGCAACGACATATTATATCCGATATGAGATAATAATAGTATAATATTATTAAGAAGAAGAAGAAGAAGAAGAAGAAGAAGAAGAAGAAGAAGAAGAAGAAGAAGAAGAAGAAGAAACTAAAACAGATATTCCGAATTCACCACACGAAGAACAGGAATACGTGCACAAATCACACGAGTCACCTTTATAACTACTAGAAAGATTATCATACTACACCTCTGTCAAAGAACTTGAAAATATCATTCCAAAGTTGCGGTTCTCTGGAACCGGGGATTTCCACCTCATGAAATTTTCGAAGCTGTTTAGCAATTTCTGCCACAAGCTTTGGTTGCCGCATGTCTGTTACGAAACAAAACAAAACATATGAAGCAATTTTTTACCTGAATGAGCCAATGAAATATTGTCACAAATTCAAACTTTCGAAACTAATCCGACAACTCACTTAAGAAATGGTGCTCATAAAAATATAAAGGAGATTGTCTATCCATTGAAAAGATAATCACCATTTCCTAATACATGTTTTCTTTACCAGATGGAGTAAGTGTACGAGCATTAATGAATGATTGCACCATGCCATTCCCAAAAACTCCCAGCAACTTAGCACCAAATCCTGCAGCTGAAAGGTACGGGATAGCCTAAACACAATATGCAGGATTCGTGTTAAATCATAGTTCAGAGAATGCTAGACAAATATCCAGAACACATCTGAAATTAGCACCAAATCCTGCAGCTAAAAGGTATGGGATAGCCTGCCTAAACAAAATATGCAGGGTTGATGTTGAATCTTATTTCAAACAATGCTAGACAAACAACCAGAACACATCTGAGTTTAGGATAACACGTCATTACTCATTAATAAGCAAGTCTATATGTTCAGAAACTTAAAACTCAATGCACATATGGACAGTAGAAAACTTCAGTGATGTACCTGCAGCTCCCTTTCACGATTGATCACATATTCAGTATTTGGCCCATATAATCTAACTGTGATACTAACAACATTGTCATTTTTCTCTCTCACGGATACCTTGAGTACTGTTACAATAGAAAGACAACATTAGGGCATTTATCACTGGGACACTGGGCAGACAGCAAACAGCCACTGCTAAGGAGACAGTTAATAATTCAATAAGTGGCAGTAAAATTTAATACTTCAACACGCGCACACACACACACACACAATATATATACATACATACATACATATATATATATATATATACATATACACACAGTTAATAGTTCAATAAATGGCAATAAGATTTTAATACTTCAACACGCGCACGGGAGAGACGCACACAAGTTAACAACAATATCGTGAAAGGCAACAGGAGAGACGCACACAAGTTCGTGATTCCACCAGATACTCTTTCAAGGGAGAACCTTGATTCCTCCAAATCTGACCATTGTTTGAATAGATCTTTGCATAGCTCCCTGAAAATATCACACAAAAAATAAAAGTTCCTCAAAAAAATATAAAATATATTCAAAGTTAACAATCACTTTGGCTGTGACATAAGGATTAAGGAACAAAAGAACTTGCTAAAGGTGAAACATTAGTTTTAACAAGTTTACAGTCCACTTGCGTACCATACCAGCAACAGTTTGTTAAATTCTCTCATCTAAATACTGTAAGAGGCACGTTGTCCAATTATGTTCAATAGTATCCATTAATACATAGTAGCAAAGGGAGCACATTGGCCAAAGATGTTCTAAGCAATGGCAATGGACTCATGTCTTACCATTATGAGTCGCATAGAACACATAATTTTATAAAATATTAGTAGTTGTTAACAGAAACAAATATACAGCAATACCAAATGGACCCAACCACTTTTTCAGAAACTTCCACAACTGATATTGGCATAAATTTCAGTAATAATATCAACAAACCAGGACCAAGAATGAAAGCCATTGTTTGAGCAGAAGAAAAAATAAATACGCATTAAAAAAAGTGAAGGTTTCAGCTGTAGGAGGTAGGGAGAAAGAGAAAGAAGGATGAGGATACAAGTCAGTGAGGAGACCATGTGGGAGAAGTGAAAGGTGTAACAAAATCGAATGAATATCAGCACCACTTTCCCATTTTTATTTCTTTTATGTCTTCCCAAAGGCATATCTTGGGACTTGGATAGCCATTCATAAAGGTCCTTGCATAACCAAGAAGCTCCTCCCAGAGTTATTGTGCAACAAGTGCATGGCTCCCACAACTATGCACCAAAATAGAATTGGTTTTTGGTCAATTATAACATCACATCTCCATGATCAACAAAAAAAATGGATGCCAATAGTGGAATAAGGGAGAGCTAAGACTACACACACTTTGAGGATGCCACTTAAATCTTACTCAGGCTGCAACGCCTGAAATCATCATTCAATTCACAATGTTAACGTATCAAATTTGGTTTAGGGAAGTGGAGGAATCTAAGGCATATCAGTAATGGGACAGCAATACAGCATATCAGTATACTAGAAAGAAAAAGGTGTCAACAAGAATTTAAGACTCAGGCTTCAGAGGTTAACATGGAGAAAGAATACAAGAAAGTACCGACACGAACTTTGTACGAAATACTCATATGTAGTCGATCAGTCTCGACGATCGGAAGAAGCAGAACGAAAGAAGGATTTGGCCAAAAAATAAAACAAAATTACTTTGAGAATATCCTGCATCACATATAAGAAGTCTGGAACAGAACTCGTTATGTAATTATCATCTCCAACAATAGCACATCTCATCAAAGTCTTCCTCACAGTTCAATATCTGACACTACCTCCACTTAACTGACAATGCAGTCACCAAATTCGTATTAAAAATGCAAAAGCACCTTGTTCATGATCGATTATAGGACACCCTAGCTACCCATTTCATCTACTAATATGTAACTATATATATCCATTACAAAATCATGTCTTTCAGTACCACTTGCTTACCGTTTGCACAATCCTAATATAATTTCCCCCAGCCCACGAATTCTCAACCTCCCCAACGATTTTGTTCGACACACAACATTGGTCAGTAATAAATTCCTCGCATCCACATTCCTCAGGAGGTATCGGGAAGGATATGGCAATCCAAATTGTCTCCTAGGATCTGTAATTGCCTCAAAAGGTGCAGTATAACATACACTGGTGGCTTTAAAGATAACTTCAGCTCTATTTATTGCCGCCGATTAAGACTTTCGATAGATAAGAGGAACTATGAGCCAAAATAACAAAGCCAGCTCAATCAAGATATGTATTCGCCTGACCATTAAGAGCTTTTTTTTTTTTTTGCGTGCGAAAAGAAAAACAGACAAAATTCACGCAACATTCAATTGAAAGGGTCTTATCCAAATGAGGTAAGAAACGAATGGAAGAACACCAGCGCTGACAATAACAGCAAAAGAATGAAAGGAAGGATACTGACACGATGAAAGGCTTCATATCGGGGAGGGCGAGAGAGTGATCGATCGTGATGGAGGACGACGGAATCTCGGAGCTGTGGCTCTCCGCCACCCCCGCCGCATCCCAAATCTTCTCCGCCGCAACCATTTTTTCTTTCCTTCTTTTTGTTTTCTGCAGATTAACTTAGCGCCTTCACGATCCCAAGCTTGAAAAATGCACAAATATGTGCAAGTTGTGATGGGGTGAACGAGTACTGTTCCGTTGTCTTGTTTATGGCGAACACGACCAAAGAAGAATCTTGCATTGGAGTTCTCAATATTAAAGCAGGAATTCGATTGAAATAACGAAAATGGCCTTGCCTCGCCAACCATATCTTTAGTGGCATGGCCCAAGGGATGTTACCGAACCGAACCGAACCGAACCGAACCGAGATTAAGGTGTTCGAGCTCGAGCTCTACTAATTTTTGAACATGTTCATGTTCGTTTGTTTAGTAAACGAACAAAAAAATTTGTACGTGCTCGTTCGTTTATTGGTTCGACACGTTTGTGTTCGTTCGTTTATTTAGTCGAACTTGTTGAACTGTTCGAATTGTTCGACAAGTACGTGTTCGAATTTTTCGACATGTTCATTTTCGTGTTTTTTAACTTTTTTATTTTATTTTAATGTCATACAAGTTATTTTATTTAATATTTAATATATATTCATATTTATATATTATATTATTTGTATATACTGTATATAATATATAAAATTATAAAATATTTTTACATGTATATATTATATATAATATATAAATATATAAAATATTTTTTTGTTCGCGAACTTGTTCGTGTTCGTTCGATAATTAAACGAACATAATTTCATGTTCGAGTTCGGTTCGACTGCAAAACGAACGAGTTGTTATCGAACACGAACGAACATGAACGAGCTTTGTTCGTGAACATCTCGGTTCGATAACAACCCTACATGGCCTTATCCTGAGGTCTAACATGTCCTCAGACCATCCGACCTCAATATCTCGAGGTCGATTACTTTGTCGGGCTCTTGGAGGCCGAAACATCTAGGTCATGTCTGTTCTGTTAGCTTGGCACTTTGAGCCCATGTCTGTGCTACTTGGCCGAACATCTTGCCTCTGTACTCACGGGAGTTCTTCTAGCCCGGTCCTAGCCGAGCTACTCTCTCGGTTTTGCTGAGCTACTCCTGAGTGCTACATCATCTAGCTCCCTCCCCCACCACCAGACTTGTCCTGAAAAGGACTTTTATACCCGAGACTTTGTATTTGGCCTTCTTCCTTTATTCAATGAACCAAATCCCCAAGAGAGCATGAGGCGTATGCTCAGATCCTGGATTCTGATACGTACTCTGCATACGTGGATGCGCTGAACCGAATTCTTTACGGATTCTTGAATATTGTATTTTTCCAACTGTCTAGTATTTTTCTAGCAGTTACCTATCTTGGCTTATAAAAATCGCTCCTTTTACCATCTCATTGCTTACTCTGTTTTTTGCCTACTCAATTTCTCTGAGTGAAAAATCTGTCTCGCTGTTCCAAATTTTTGGTGACCTTCTTCCGCCGATCTCTCGACACCTTCTCCCATTCTCTCGCTTCGTAGGTACGTTTTTACTTCTCTCTAACTTATGTATTTTATTCCTTCTTCTTTCTTCTTTGTCAAGCCTCGATAAGAGAAATCCTAGCCCCGCTCATTTTTCTTCTTGGTATCAGAACCTACAAGCTCGAGCGCAGGCCACTATTGGTGGTTGTACGGGCACCTTCGATGATGATGAGACCTAGGCAAATCTCTCCAATTCCGCTGGCTAGAAGGGGAATCCTGACGAGCATCTCGGGCACCCTTGATGGGAATCTGCCTTGCCCATAACCCTTTAGTGTCTCAATACCCAAGCTTACTAGGATCGTGGTGAAGAATCATCTTCGACGTCTCCTTAATATTATTTTTGCTTTTCATATGATAAAGTATTGATCAATTTCATATTTTTTCATAAAAAAACATATAAAAGTTAAAATATAACTAGGTAGTCACTCAAAAAATATAAAAAAAAAAAAAGAAATCTCTAGAGATCTGAACTAAATTGTTTCAATAATCCCGAATATTGAACCGAACTAAACTAAATTGACAAATGAAAATCTCCAAACTAAATTGTCTCAATTTTTTTGTGCGATTCCGGAAATCAAATTTTAGTGGTCTCTGAATTTTGGTACGGTTTTGGAGATTTCTCAATCTTCAAACTGTACCGACCCATGCTCACCGCTAGATAGAAACTTAGTCATGTTGTTACGCAACATGGACAATTCTATGAGACTATGCAATGGAACACGATTGGTTGTGACCACTCTCCACTCATATGCTCGAATGCAAGATATTGAATGGAGATCACGCAGTAAGGGTGCACAAAGTTCGGTTAACCGGGCCAAACCGATCGAATCCAAAAATTGGGTTTGCACAGAAACCGAAACTGAATATTTGGTTCGATTTTCGGTGTACGGTTTTAAAAAAATTCAGTTTTCGGTTCCGTTTGAATAATTGTGATTGGTTAACCGAACCAAAAACTTATTTATACACATATATATACATGTTTTTTTATTTATACATATAAGTTATAAAAATATTAATTTGATTCAATGGTGGATGATTTTCAAGCTTCAACAACCCCTAAAATGGCTCAAGAATTAATTTGCACTCAAGATTGACTTCGTCGTAGTCTAAGTCACGGCTCGAGTCCGTGATCTTTCTTTGAGGAAAATTTAATTTTTTTTGAGAAGATTAAACAAGGTGATAAAAGATCAATTTTTTTTTGTTCAGATATAACATCATTTTTTTCAGTTAAAAGTTCAGAATTTATTGAGAAGATTAATTATTATTGCATTTAACCAAAAACCAAACCGAACCGACAGTTGGATTTTCTGTTAAAAACCGAACCGAACCATAAATTTCGGTTTGCTTTTCGGGTATGATACTGGAGAAACAGAATTTTCGATTAACCAAAAATTCGGTCGGTTCAGTTTGGATCGGTTTCGACCGAATGAGCAGCCCTATCACGCAGACGAAAAAGTGATGATTTCTAGAATGAATATAACTCCTTATCTTAGGATTTCATTTAAGTTCCAGCTGCAGCAGTTCCTACTTATGATTTCGTATGTCATGACGATAAGAAGAGCCAGAGCCAGTCTTTATCGCACGTTGACATGTTCTTGAAGAAACATGCTTTTAGCTAATGTCAATTATATGTTTCTGTTTCGCGTGTAACTAATAGAAAGAAATTGAAAATACTAGTTTGTAGGAACAACAAGTTGTCCAGTAATCAAACTAATAATATTTTGTATAATGAAGTTTTTAATAATATATAATTTTTTCATGACGAACATTTTATTATTAGACAATTTTTCTACGTATTAGAACTCATTTATTTATCAACACTTCAATTTAGGGACTAGTGCAATTAGACAATAGAGTAACCATTAGATATACACTGTAACACTTGCTATCTGTAAAGGAAAAAGAGCAGCAGCAAACTGAAATGATAGTAAACCCAAATGCCTATGATAATATGATGTGTGTGTATATATGTATATATAAATAAGCATTAATCAACCTTTCTTATAGCAACATATATATAATTTGATACATCTGATCAAACTTAATCAGATTAACTTCTTCTTTGAAGAACAATTCTTTGAGCAGTCCAACCAGCAAGATATCAAGCCGGCTAATCCTCCCTCCCGCGGCTTCGAGATGTCCATTTCCCTTCTCTCGAGCACTCTCAGGAACTCGTCCGAGCTCAAACTCCCATCCCGGTCAGCATCAAACACGTAGAACACCAAATCCACCACTTTATCGCTGAGCAAAATGCCGCAAACCTTTCATATATCACCACCAAAATCTATCATTCAATCAATCGATAAATAACACAAAACAGAATTGACATACTTTTTGGACAAATGTTAATACTCTCGCGCACGTTGCAACGCTATTGTTTGGCATCATAGTAAGATTCATACTTTCGAGCGCGTTGTATAATTAGTTTGAATTATCTTATGAAATTTCTATTCTAGTAAAAGTTGACTATAACTAAATCAGATTAGACTATGTTTGGTAAAATTAGCTGATAGATGATAGCTTATCAATAATTTTCGAAAGAGTAGTTTTGTGTACAAAGGAATAGTGGAGAGTGTAAATTGTACTCGTTCGGCTGCTCTTTTGAAGTCCTGTTTCGAGAGGAGGCCGTTGACCTTGCCGTAGCTGAAGAGGGCCAGAGAAAACGGCTCCAATCTCCTCCGGAGGTCGGCGAAATTCTTGAACTCCTCAAACGTGATGCGTAGGTCCCTTAGAGACGGCTCGTTTTTTAGCTCTTCCGCTTGGTCGAGAAATCTGTTTATGTACCTCATGTCGGCAGACGCCACCATTGACAGGATAAAATCCTTTGCCGAGATGTTCCCACACGACTTGTAATCGTAGTGCGCGAATTCCAACCTCAACATCTGTTTTTTCGTTTCATAATTCTCAAATAAAACCAATCAACATTTCTAAAGAATAGAAAATATAAAAAGAAATAATACCTCGTCGTGCAAGTCTCGTAAGAATTGGACAAACTTGTCGTGATCAAGGCGTTGATTTCCATCTCGTCCAAAGAAGTGCTCGAGTAGGCCGCCATCCTCTACAGATCCCGAGACTTTTAGGCCGATTCTCTTACCGTCTCTATGGGAGGCACCTTGTCGGTTTTGGGTTCGCATGAGTGACATCACCTTCCTGAACTCGTCTCTTTCTACGCTTCTGTGTGCACGAAATTTGTCGGCATGGAAAACAATTGAGGTGGCAATATGGGATAAAACCAGGGGGAAATTTAAATATGGAAAAACGGTGCATGTACCCATCATTATCAAGGTCGAACATTTTAAATGCGATAGAAAAGCTCGATTCCGGTATGCTCAGTATCGTAACGAAGAAAATATACCTGCAATAAGGTTGACAGATCAAGAACCTATCTTTTTCAGACAATTCGTGAACTAAACCGATTGATATTTTTTTTTTTTTTTTGTTATGGGAGACTCACTCTGGAAACGATATAAGGCCATCATTGTCCATGTCGAACAACTTAAAGAAGCGAGAAGGAGGACAATGTAGGTCGCTGATAACATGTTCGCCTTCGAGGTAACCTCCTCTAACGGCATCTGCTTCAGATGGTGGGAAAACGGGAATCATTGCTCTCATCAAATCAGCCGGGGTCATGTATCTCTCACCTTCAGGCGTCTTGAACGATGCGAAGTACTCAAACACCTTAAATAAATGAAGTCAGACCAAAAACAATAATTAAATCGGCAGATTTTGCTTCTACATATGTCCGAAAACATTTGGAACAGAGTACTTTAAAAAAGATCGAAGATGAAGTCGGCGAATTTTACCTTTTCAGGAGGGCTTCGTGTCCGTATGCGTTTTTCATACTTGAAAAAAACTTTTCTCCTATAGGTATCTGCAAATTGTGGAGAATGAAAGTTTAAAGAAATTCACTGCGCATGGTAAAACGGAACGTGATATATATTATATGCCCGAATAATATGTATACCATTGAACAAGAAGCTCGTTTTTTTCTCTGGCTCTTTCGTCTGATGACTTCCCGAGTCGGCATAAGCCACGCGAGAATCACCGAACGAAGAAGACGAACAACACATGAGGCTTAGGCTCGAACCAAAGACGATTGCTCCATAAGAAACCGATCTCAAAAGTGAATCAAAGAACGTGGAATATTCACTTTTACGGCTCTTCCTATAGTCATCGTGATAATAATGTTCACTCTTGCTCTTTCTTGAAGATCTCGGAGAAAGCGGGGCTTTCGGTTTTGAGGAAAACGAGGAAGGGATCGGGCTGTCGGAACAAACTCGGATCCGGGCTGTGGTTTTTCTCAGTGAGGAGGCCCAAGAATGCATAGTATAATGCCTAATGTGGCAAGTTTCAAATGTGAAGAAGTGTTAAAAAAAAAATGGAGAAAATTGAGAAGGCACTATTATTGTTTATGATGCGTATAAAAATGGTGTTGTGATGAGGAGAATGTGCGAAGAGAGGAAATGAAGGTGGGATCTAACATGTGGACCTTGACTTGTTCTTAACGGTCTTCAAGGTAGTTTGGTTCATATATAGCACAAGAATAACGACTTCATGTTCCCCCCAAAACGAACAACAGATTTAAATAGTAAACAAGAACCATTTTCTTTTTATTTTTTTCACCGGGAAAATTAAGGTATTTTTTAGTTATTTTGGTGGCGGCGTGTGGCCCGATTGGATCACCGCAGGTATCCTCCCCTTCTTTATGCATGAGAGCATGACTCGAGCATGATGTTATTGGGGGTGTCGTATCCCCGTCGAGTTTTAGCCTAGGCCTTCGGCCTACTTCATTGTACCGAAAAAAAAAATACCAACGGTTAAAAGTCAAACACCTATCAAATACAACGATTTTTGATTACTAGTTGATGATACAAGAATTATCTGACGTTAGTCAGAGGACACGTAGCGACGATTGATGTATGCTCCGACGCCTTTCAGGACTCGCCTCGTTTGCTCCGATGCCTGCAAAACAGAACCCCGGGGTTGTACCCAGGGGTAGACCCTTCGATGCCTAAGTTAGAATCGGTTTTAGGTTTTCTGGGGTGGTGGCTGCGGAATGAGTAGAAGAGAGAGTTTGGAGTGGTGAGAATATCCCTTACCTTGACTTATGTCTTCCTATTATAGGAGCCAGACGACCTAGGTCCCCCTTCTGCAGGCGGAGACTCCCTGGCCCATAAGCTTCGTGGGCTGACCCCAGACCTTGGACCCAAAGTAAAGCTCCTTTGGACCTTGGACCTACAGTAACTCTCTTCAGGACGTTGGGCCCAGAGTAAAGCTCTTTGGGACCTTGGGCCTGAATTAAAGTTGGGCTTCAGCCTTAATCCTGGACTCTAATGGTTCTCGGATCACACGTGTCTTTATTCTCTCGAGCCACATGCCGTATAATAAATGTATATTTTTTCCTTATCACTACGTGATGGTTAATGTTTTTGCCAATTAAGTGTAGTAAAATAAATTACTTAATTACTGAACATATCAGTGGCGAAATAAAATGTAGAACAAGTGAGCTCTTGATGTATTTTAATTTTCAAAAATAGTATGATGTCTTAATATAAACAGAATGTAATAACATATTACAACTCCAACAAACATATCTCACTGGAACGTGTATATAATAAAGTCATTCTTCTAACCAAATCCCTCCAGGAAATATTAAAGTCCCATAAATAATCTCTATATTTTTAATTTGGTTAACAAAGATGGATTCAGATTGAGGCACGAGCCAAGCTTAAACCTTGAGAGGTTTCAATATGCTCGACTGAAAGGAGATGGTTACAGAGGCTCTTTCAAAGCCAGAAGGCGCGCGTATTTTCTTTCATATAAAAAATGAGTCCCTAATGGAAAAAAACACACTAAATAATTAAATAAGAATCTAATGTAAACTATAGGTGCATTAGGTTTTTTATTTATTTATGTTAGATAATTTAAGAGTGATTTTCTTTCATTTTGGTTTTGACGTTCTCATAAGAACTTTTACTTTATTCAAACACTTAGAAGTATTTTGGCCAAACATTTAGTCAATTTAATTATTGTATGATCTTCATATGGTGTTTTTACCAACACAATTCATAAATATCTCTGTGAAATAACAAACTGTGTCATTAAAATTGCTGATATTTTTTATCATTGTATAAACTACTACATTATCAGCTCTCTATATCGAGAAATTGGTAGAGATCGCCCAACGAGGTGAGAATGAATTTGATCTCCAAATAAAAATTGATTTACAAAAATGGTTACATGTACTTCTCTCGATGCGCTAAATTATTTTTTCAAATCATCACACATTACGTGAAAGTATATGCTCTAAAGTAATTGCACATGTATTCGAGCACAATACACCAATAAAATTATAAATATTCCCATAAAAAAGTGACAACTTTGTCATTAAATTTTTTTTGACTAGGCTCCGACATTCACCTTTCAATGTTATGTATTGGGAAGATAGACGAATTATATAATTTATTTTATGCAAATAATTGACATCTTTGTTGTTGCAACGATTTCAGAGTTGTTTATCATAATATCTTTCACATTTGTTCGTATTTGCAGCAATTATGTGCCTAATAACTTCTTTAATGCTTCCATTGCCCAACTTTTGACATCATACATAATGTTTAAAAAATTCAAGACAAAGATCTTTTCTTGATTCTTCCACATGACGACAAACAAAACAAAATAATGAGACAATATTGAGAAACATATCATTTGTTAAAATATTTGAGAGGATAAAAATTAAAATTCTATTATGATACTGCAAGTCATCTGTGAACTTTGTTATTACGAAGTCATTATTAGTATTCAAAATATGTATTAAAAATTTCAGATTTTGTTAATTATTTAAAAAATTAAAATTGATAATATAGGATATTTATTTATGAGAAATTAAACTCTAGCAACAAAAAATGTAGTAATTTTAAAATATTTGTTTCTAGATATTGGTATTCATAATTCTCTAAAAAAAAAAAAAACAGACTTTTTCATTCTTTTTTTTTGTACTCATTGCATTACTATTGTTATTTGTTTCTTATTCTGTTCACAAATAGTATTTTATTTGTTAAAAGAATCAGTGCACATTTATATGTATTGCGTTATTTTTTTGTACGTGTTTTATATAATATCGTTGTTATCAAGATATCTTATTTATTAGGTTTCAGCTAATATACACACAACAGATAAAATACTCTTTAATATTATGATGTAACTCTCAGAAGTAACTCGACATACATGTCTGACAGAATAGCTCGTACAGCTGGGCTAGAAATAACTCTAGAGTATAGAAGCAAGATGCTTGCTCAGGTAGCTCAGACTAGGGCTTAAGATACCGAGCTTACATAATAGACATGACTTGGAGGTACCGGCCTCCAAGAGCCCGACAAAGTAAGCGACCTCGATATATCGAGGTCGAGTGGTTTAGGACATGTTAGACTTAAATACAAGGTCGATTTAGACCTCCGGACCAGGTCAGGTACATCCTCAGAAAGGCCACAACAGACAGGTCAGAAGGTCGAATTTATGATCTAAGGATCCATGGGCTAAAACAGTAAATAGGAAAGAATTCAAGTAGAAGAAAAGAATCGCTCCCTTAAGGACTATTACCAAGATAGAGACGTGGTGAATTAGGGTAGTAGAATCTGGTTGGATCTCTTTCCTAACAAGAACTCTCTTCGGACCCAAAGGTATTAAGTCCTATAAAAAGACGTCAGGTTCTCATATAACACAACACACAATCCACGTCTTATTTCTTATATTTTACAGTATACGATTGTGCGAGTTTTGACTTGAGCGTGGGAGAATTTTTCGTTGGGATCCCCTCCAAGCGTATTGCAGGTTATCGAAGGCTCAAGAAGGAGGATCGTTCAAGGCGGGAAGTGTTCAACCTGTTCGCGACTAAAGGTGATGTAACAATATTGGCACGTTTGTGGGAAAAACTAGTCTTTTACTGGCTACAAAAGACTACATTTTTTTCACAAAAATCCGCATAATGAAGATGAAAATCATATTGAACGACAATTCCAAAAAGAACCTCACAAAAGAGATGGACTTTGTGTGGCAGAAGAGATCAATAATATAGGGCCTCCAGCCAGGCTAGCCGCATTCTTCCGACCCACTGATCACGCCCCGCGAGACGCTGCTCTCTCCGGGAACATGTATGATGTCGACGCCAAAGATGGGCTTACCCTTAAAAGAGAACTCCGAACATTGGAATGTACTTTTGATCACTAGCTAGCTTATGGGTTTCCACATTGACTTGGTTTGATCAGTTTTAAAGGACCAAAATATTGTCGCAGTCTCAATTACTGATAGGTCGTACAAATGTTACAAACAATAGAGAGCCTAGAAAATAAAGAAGGCGAAATTACCTACATACGAGACCTCTAAGTATTTTGTTTGTCAAAAGGCTTCGAAAGTTTCAATTGGGGTGTGTGTGTGTCAAATGGCCGTAATTTGTTTGTCATATATCCATTAGATGATGGCGGAGTTCAATGGAAGAGGGCAAGCCCTAACTAGTCGTTCAATCGACGAGGACGATGGATCGATGATGTGGCACAATTCATGTTTGTTTTTAGATAATTATTATATCAAGTTGTTGTTTTTATGTTGGTTAATAGTTGTTATGCTATTTTTAATAATATTGTTTGATAGTTGTTTATATTATCTTTGAGCGAGGCCATTTATGCAAGAGTTGTTGGAGGTGCTGGACCGAAGCCGGTGCCTTGAGGAACACCCAATCGGTTGCGGCTCCGGGAAGAACTCCGAGCGTGCTTCATAATTTATTTTAAGCATTCACGATGTTGAAGAAGAAGAAGAACTCCGAACAAATGTACTTTTGATCACTAGCTAGCTTATGGGTTTCCACATTGACTAGGTTTGATTAGTTTTAAAGGACCAAAATATTGTCGCAGTCTCAATTACTGATAGGTCGTACAAATGTTAAAAACAATAGAGAGCCTAGAAAATAAAGAAGGCGAAATTACCTACATACGAGACCTCTAAGTATTTTGTTTGTCAAAAGACTTCGAAAGTTTCAATTTGGGTGTGTGTGTGTCAAATGGCCATAATTTGTTTGTCATATATCCATTAGATGATGGCGGAGTTCAATGGAAGAGGGCAAGCCCTAACTAGTCGTTCAATCGACGAGGGCGATGGATCGATGATGTGGCACAATTCATGTTTGTTTTTAGATAATTATTATATCAAGTTGTTGTTTTTATGTTGGTTAATAGTTGTTATGCTATTTTTAATAATATTGTTTGATAGTTGTTTATATTATCTTTGAGCGCGGCCATTTATGCAAGAGTTGTTGGAGGTGCTGGACCGAAGC